ACCGGCGGATGTCACGCCGGTGTGCTCACCTCTCTGTGCCATCTCTCTCTGGCCCGCGCCTCGTCGTAGGAAGAGATGCGTCCACCCTCGCCGCCGAGGGTGTATCGCGTGCGCCCGCCGAGGTCGAGCCTCGGCCGCCACGGCAGCGCGAGGTCGCCCAGCATCCGCCACTCCGCCTCGACCGCCGCACCGTCGTCTACAAGGCGCAGCGACTTGAGCTCGACCGAGCGAGCGGTGGGCGGGACAAATCGCTCGATCCACGGGTCGAGGTTCGCGAGGTTGCGCTCAAAGGTGCTCAGACCCGCGAAGGAGAGCGTCGGGTCCGTGAAGGTGCAGTCCTCGTCGTATAGCTCCGCCGTGATGCGACCGCTCCAGAGGTATTCGTTCTCTTCAAAGTCGGTTCGCAGGCCCGCCAGCACATCGCCAGCATCGAGTGACTCCTGCTCACGCCGGCGAGGTGCTGAGGGCGGCTCGCCGCCCGAGATGGTGTTGACGAGCGCAGTCAGCGAGGAGACGAGCCCTCTGGTTGCACGGCTAGTCTCGCTGATCTCATTGAGCTCGCAGCACACAGCGTGGCTCCTATCGACAGGCCTCGTTGCCATGCAGGCTGGCTGCGGCGAGAGTGCAGCCGCCGAATCAGCAGGAGTGCACAAGAGAATCATCTTCAACTTCGCCAAAGAGGTCGGCAGCCCGAGCGCCGTCGATCGCACCGACTACGGCACAGCCTCCGGCAGCGCCCGGGGCTTCGCCCAGCACCACTCGCAAAAAAAGATAGAAAATCGTGACCCAAGGGAGGGATGGCACCACTCGCAACAGCTCTCGCGCGCCGCGGTCTATTTTCTTCTCAATAGTGCGAGGGAGTTTTGTTGTAAAATTCTTCTCAATACAAGGCTGTCTGTGAAAGCACCCACACATCCTATCCCTGGAGCACCTCGATCCTGTACCGTGTTTGTTATGACCCCCCCCAATGAACACACCAGTGAGGGAGGGCGAGACGATCGAGGGGTCCCCGTACCATGCGGAATCGACCCTAGGCAGTGCTCAAGTGATCAAGGCTGTGAAGCACCCACACCTCCTGCCCCCGCGCCGAGCGGCTGTTAGAGACAGTAATGCTTCTCCTGGTTTTGTCGTGCTCTCTATCCCTCCTGCAACAGCCTCGCCCGCCGCTCGGGCTCGGCCTCCGCCCGGCGCTGCTCTGCGGCCGCCGAGTTGCGATCGTGATGGCTGCAGACGAGGCGGCGGCGCAGCGGGCGGAGCAGGCGGACAGGGCAGCAGCAGCGCTGGCACAGTTGCCACCTGGCCTGTACAACCGCGTGAGCTTTCAGAGCGGCGGCATGAAGCAGGCCTACGCGGAGGAGGAATGCCTCGTGCTGTGGGAAGCGCTCAAGGCGCGAACCCCGTCCTCTCTCACTGCCACCCTCTCCTCTCTCTGCCACCCTCGCCCACCGCTCTCCTCGCGTCCAGGCGTGCTACCCAACCGAGGCGGACGCGCTCGCGGCAGTCGACAAGAACTCGATGACCGTCAATCCGTCGATGAACTCGCCCTCCAAGATCACCGAGACGCACGCGCTTCTGGTGGAGCGCTTCGGAGCGGGCAAGGCGTCCGAGATCATCATGC